CTACGGATTTCCATGCGGCGACCGAGCGCCCCGACCTTGCTGACGAGCATAAGGGTTATATTTGTGGCTTCCGAGGCCATGACCTAACTGACGAGCCAGGGTTTACTTAGCGGCTACCTAGAGCCATGACCTCGATGTTGAGCGAGGGTTTATACAGTAGCTACCTAGAGCTATGACCAAGCCTTAGAGCTTTGGGTTCTCTTCGTGGCTACCGAGAGCCATGACCTAGCTGTATAGCTGAGGTTTTCTTTCGTGGCATGAGGCCGTTACCTTGCTGTTGAGCGAGGGTTTGAGTCTTGCTGTTGAGCATAGACTGTAGCTTGATATCTACGAGTAGTCAAGTATATTAGAAGTTTTTAAACTAACCTGAGATTTCTGACTGATGAAAATACATTGAATTTTGTCGTCTTATATACTGTTTTTCCAGTGAGTAGAAAGCTACATTACTTCTCCTCTGTTCAAAAATTATAATTTCGATAAACCTCCAAAATAATTCTAATTAACGATATCGTGATTGAATATTATATTACATTCTATCTAGATGAAACAACGAAGGTTGTTTCAGGTAATTTAATAAGATTGAATTAAATCTTTCTGTTTAAATCTTTACTAAACTCATAAGATATTTTGAGTTTACATGATGTTCGTAGTCTTGATTAATCTAATACCGATAATCAATTCTATACGACCCATTACATTGAAACGATTAAGTTATAGCTATCAATTTATATTCGCTATATATAATTAGTGCATTCAAACATAATTCATTAAAGATCGTAAAAGATTCGACTGAATGTCCATGAAAAAGTATTATTTGAATCCATTTCAATGTTTAAATAAAATACAATCAGTGGTATATTGTAAGAAAGAATAAATTTAACATAAAGAATCAAATCGTAAGACAATAAAGCATTTCACATTTTAATAATCACGTTTTAGCAATAAAATAAGAAAAGCGAGGTGGGATCAGAAACGAGTAATCTTTTGATTTGCTGCTACACTTTTTCTCATAGCCTAAAAGTCAATAAAACGTACATTTCTAGTGAATTTACCATTTAGGTTAATTATTACAAAAACGAAATTGTCACGTCTACTTATTTGGTAATGCTTGTAGTTAATTTGTGACAAAGTTTAAAAGATTATCTCAATAACGTTCACAAAAAGAAAATAACGAGAAACGGACCATTTCAAACAACCTACAAGATTTTGATTATACTCTCAGAGAAATCATTTCTGTTCTTGTTGCTATACAGTTAGTTTTATTTTGTTTTCTACGTGTAAAACCATGAGTTCTCAAAGTCTCTGTAGTCTTAACCATGTGAATCAAGCTATGAAGAAAACAAATGATTCAAACTCTGCGTCAAAATCAGCTCAACATCGTCAACCTAGTAGAGGAAAAGATATAAACAACCTTCGCAAGACAATGAAAAAACATCGTGGTGGACTTTCTCATCGTGTTGATATGCACTTTGAAAGTCTACAAAACTGTATCAGAAAAAATTCTACTTTAATCGGAAATATCACTGATCAGTTGAACAAGTTGAAAACCGATATAACTTCTATTCAAAGCTGTGTTGACATCATCAAAAGTAAAATTGAAAAAAATAAATGTATTTATTCATCGTGTTCATCATCAGATATGGAAAGCGATACAGACAATGTTCAGAAAAACGATGTCGCAGGTAAGGAGATAGCAGTGATCTAATTCACTTCCAAGGCTTGGATCAATTCTGGTGAATATGTAGCATCATCTTTGCTTTTAGCTGCCGTTGAATCGCTCAAGCATAACAAATCTTGGTTTTTTGTCTCCTTACTAATCGACCTTATCTAATGAAATCACGAAAAAAATTGTAATTGGAAGTTATCTTCAAGTTTTGGCTAAACTCACCGTTTTGTTTTCAACTTCTTGTGTAGATTGACCTTTATAGCAAACAAATTTTTTCAAGCAAATGTAGCTGCATATGATAATGAACACGCAAACTATCAACGATAAAAAGCTCAGAAAAATCAACAAGCTATTAAGGTATTTATTTTCACCACCAATATTACTTGTAACCAACTTTTTCTCTTCTGAATTAGGAACTTTTTTATATTTCTTTTCACCATGATGAGTCTCGTTCTTTTCCGCTATATTATTTACTATATGGAGAACTGTTTTCGGTTTTTCCTTATCGCTCAAAGATTGACTCTCTATGAAACCTTTAAAATAAAAAAGAAATGATATTTACAATAAAAGAAAATCTCGTATTTCCTATTCTCATATCTCACAGAGCTTGAATACTTACAGCAAATACCGCGATAAAGAGTATCATCACAAAGGTAGATAATATCGCAATCACTTTTCGGTAGAATTATCAATTCTTCACCAATAATTCTATATGGACAACCCATTGTGGTTACCTTTACACCTTTTGAGCACAAGAATTTATTGATTACATCTTTGGTTAATGCTATGAAGAACCAAGAAAAAATCGATGATTAGAAAACCGTAAATCTCTAAATGTTTAACTAACCTGTTTCTTTAGGAATCACCACTTTATAGCTTTCGTTTTTCGAGGGGCAAATTAAAGATAAAAAACGATAAAAAACATTGATAACATCGCTAATTAATACTGAATATTTAGAATTATAAACAAACGAGATCATCAGATAATTCAACATAAGAACAAGGGTGTGTTCGTTTTGTTTTGTTTTTCGTTGTTCGGGTAACCTGTTGCTATAACTACAACAACATAGATCTTAAAGAGCTAAAAAGAAAATTTTGAAAACCAAACCGTTTGTTTAGAGAAGACTTTGTATCTTAATTAATCAGTCATAGCTTTAAATCTCAATTGATCAACCGATTTATTAAGCTATTATGTTTACCTTTACTCTTCAACTTCTTCTCTTTATAGCTTATGAAAGCCAATGTAGCTTTTTTGTTCGCTACAAAAAAAAATTCTACGTAGAATTCATTTTGTGTTTCTTTTTAGTTTTAACTTTTGTGTTGTTAGTTTTAGTTGTCTTAAAATGAATTCTCAAATTGTTTTCGAAAATAATGATTTAATCAACATTGGTGAATTTGAAATTTTACCTCATGGCCAAGAGTTGATGAAGAAAATTGAATCATCATTTTTAATTGCTGGTGCCTTTCTCGATAAAGATTTTTCCAAAGGAAAAATAGTCTACATTGCCAAATGTAAAAAAGCTAATATCGATGCTAATTTGTGGGCTCAATCAGCAACCTGTAAAAAGTATTACCCTCTTTTTGAAGGTAAATTATTTCCACCTTTTGATCAGCAAAGAAAATTCTACCTTCTTGGTCAATCAGGTAAGTTTCGGTGATCTTTTTCTATGTTGTTGATTCATTTCAATATCGCTTTTTCTGTCTCTCTATCTAGAGTCCATTGGTGAATTGTAGCCAAAGTCATCAACATTAACAAGAGGCAGTTGAAAATAACCAAAGTGATTATTGAAAAACTAGAGTTATTAACGCTATACAGCCTGATAGAGTTGGTGAGATGGTCCGATCAGCAAAAATCAACACCAAAGAAACCTAAGATCACCGACTTCTTCAAGCCGATTCCATCACCATTCAAAACAAGTGTTCAACCAGGAAGTGGTGATGTAGCTGTTGCTTCAGCTATAAAGACTAGCAATGAACCATTACCTGGACCTTCAACTACTACTAGTGGTGAAATAAAATCATCTGTTGATCCTCCAATCAATGCAGCAAAGCTGATTATTTCTGGTGATTTGGATCTACAGTTTGATTCAAGTGTTGATTCCGATCTCGGCTCAGCAGCAGCTACAGTCAATATAGCTCATCATCACCTACATTGAAAAAAGCCGAGACATCAGAAGGATCTTCATCTAAATTTGGTGTTGAAATGGCTTTTAATAATCTACAAAGATTTTCAAGACCTTCGTTTGATGATTCATTACCACCTGATGCTGGCTTCGTTTTTGGTAATAGATACTTCATTGAAGGTATCATACCCGTAAACAATGTACGATATAGCCAAGCGGTTGAATCAATTGATAACCTCCGAGTCTCAGCCTCAAGGATTGTTAGAAAAATGCTGATTCCTGATTACCATATAGTCAACCAAACATTCAAAGGAAGAGGACATAATGGTGATCCTAGTGTTGCTGATGCTATATGTCAACGTTTGAAATGGTCAAAAGAATCAACCACTTTAGAGAAAATCAAACAAGCCATCATCGGTAATGAAGATTTTCTTTGAACTAACCAAGTGAAATTTTACTAATCAAATTTTTTCTATCTTTATAGTCCATTGTTTACGGCTATGTGGCAAAGCGCTGCTGAAAAAAGACGATTATTCAATGGCTTGTAATCTCATTTCTCAAAATTTTGCTGATCGGAAATGTAAGGCAGCCAAAAGGAAACTTTGGTAAAACCAAAACTAAAAAAGGATCAACAATCAACAATTCCGGTTCTTATTCTTACATAGCTTTTAAAAATTCACAATATAGCTATTTTTACTCTGTTGATACCTTCAAATTTTATCATGTTAATCAATTTCAAATTTTATTCAAAATTGTATTTTTATAATCAACAACTCTTTAGTTTGAGATGCTACAATATTTACTCAATTTTAGCTATAACCGATGTAGCTATTCAAATCTTAATTGTTTCTCTAATTAGCCGAAAGAATTAAAATTGACGACTGTCAGGCTATATATATCTTTAATTAATTATAATTTGTGACTTAATTACTAATGATCATCAGGTTTGATCGGTGTTCAACCACAACATTTACTGACGTTCAGTGTCTATGAATTTTTCCATGGAAGCTCTGACGACGCTCCGCCCACGGGGCGGAGCGTCGTCAGAGCTTCCTATACTACTGATGGTGATGATGAGGATAAAATGATCAAGGATAATGATTTCGATGATGAGAATGTACAACAAGAAAAAAATCATTGATGTGATGCAGAAATTAAATTATCATGATGAAAAAAAGACGTTGATGGTTTTTAGCATCATTTTTACATGCCTGTAATGGCTATTTTGGCTGACCAGTCACCGGCTAGGATAACCTTTTCAGCGGCTTGGATTGCATCAATGTGTGTATCAGCATCAACACCAAAGGTACACCTAAACAATAACAACAACAAACAAGCAGAAACAATATTGTTTTGGGTTGACATTGGCTTAATCATGATAATAGATTAAATTACAATTAAATGTAATTTTATAATCAAATGTCTCATGCAAATTAAATACAAAAAAAAGTTTACAATCAATGAACATTATAATTTCAATCTCTTGATTTCAATCGTAACTTGTAAGTTGGCTGGTAATTAGCTGTGATCAATGATTTCAATCAATTAAACTAAACTACTTTTCTCAGTTGCAAATGTTACACTATTAATTGCGATTAATTAAAACATTTAATCAATTAGAAACAAAGTAAAACATTGGTTACGAATCTCAGATGAATGGGTTGAGTTCATCTCAACTTTATTACTTTTCATGTTAGTTAATCATGTTTAATATACGATATATTTTGGTAATAGCTCTTGAATAGAGATTAAAGATAAATATGAATAAATATTATTACTTTTATCACAATATAGTGAAAGTATTAATAATAATAATAGTAACTAGTGATAGGGAAGGGAAGGAGAAAAAAAGTTTTGATAACATTAGATTAACAGGAAGTTCAACTCCAGAACTTTTTTTCTTTACTCTCGCTTTTTGTTCTGGTGTCACTGGAAATATCATCAATCACCATGAAGTACCTTCAAGTATATTACTCTGATTATTTCATCTTTTTTTTGCTCATTCTGCATACAAGTGCCAAATACCTTCATGATAACAAAAAATAACATTCATTGATGATGGAGGTTTGATAACTCAACTTTTTTTGCCATTTCAACATCTTACATGGTTGAAACTTTTCTGAGGGTAGTAAGATTGTAATGAGGGAGGGAGGGAGAGTGGCTGAGGGTGGATGATAAATTCGAGTTATACTAAATATATCATCAGCACTTTCCAGGTTAGTTAGTATATTATATTTGGCTTGAAATGAAAACTTAATGCTGAGGAAAAAGTTTTGGTACATAATTGATGCAGGGTGATGGAAACTGTATGGGTTCTGATTCCATTAAAACTTTTTTTCCTTCTTCTTCTGGACAAGGAAGCTGAACAATCCTTATTCAGAATTTATTATCATCATGAGTTTCTATGGAAACAAACTGTGAGCTTAAATGTAGTGATAATGATGTTGTGGTGAAGATGAAAATGTAATCACAATTGAAAGCATCTTACTTGAGAGATTGCTGATCATGAGCTTTTTTCGTTAAAAAAGTTATCTACATTCTTAGTAGTTGATTGATGATTTACCTTTTCAGCATCTTAATCAATATTTCTGGTTATTTTTCACCTCAAAATTCAGAGAAAACTTGAATTAGTAACAATCAAATGAAGCCTCAAGCGAAACCTTCAGCGAAATCAACTCGATATTAATTTTTAATTCTTAGTTCATGTCAATATAATTTGACCTAATTTTTGATACTTTTACAGGGAAAACTGAATTACCTATTTCTCAGTGTGAACACGTAAACTTAATGTGATTTAAAGTTTGTTTGCAAATTGAAAATGAGATTGAAATCAAAGTGAAATTATGAAGTTAATTGATTGTACAATTAGCAACAAGACACAATAAAAATTAGAAAACAAATTAAATCTAAAAACACCAAAAATGCAGAAAAATTATAAACGACAACGAATAGACAACAATAACAACGAAGACAATTAATATGAACAATAGACATGACAAGTTTACAGAGAAAAGACAGAATTCTGATAACCACGTTGCCATGACGATGATAGAATTGAGAGAGTAAGAGAGATTCAAATCACATTGACAACAATTAAAGATGCAAAGACAATCAGAAGGATGAAGATGATGAAGATGAAGATGAATAGATTGCATTGATGAGAAATGATTCTCTACTAGAATATGAGATTTAAGCGGCAATAAGTTGATTGATTGATCTATTTCCATAATATCGATGGTCAGTCGGATTGAATAAACCAGATTGACCAATTGGATGAATGTGATGAAACAACATACCGGTAATGGCAATTTTACATGACCATTTGGATGTACCATCGAGGACACTTTGATGAACGGCCTTCATGTGACCACCGTGACTTTTTTCATCAACATTGAAAACATTCCTGTTGATAACATTTCAGTATAACAATTATGATTAAATGAAAACCATTAAGATTATTTATGAAGACATGATGATGATGGACAATGATGACAATCAATCAATCATTCAATTGTATGTATACAAAAAAACTTTCAGTGAAATTGTTGTTTCGTTGTCTCAGAATTAGAACTTATCGTTATTAAATATTAATCGAAAAACTTATAACATAAATGGAATTAAGATAATCAACAAATATTAATATAATAAATTCTAAGCTAAAAATGAATAGATTAACTAGTAACTAAGAGTTATTGATTCCAATTTCATGGTCAACTTACCTTATCATTTCAAATATTTCAGGTTTATCTCTTTCCCGAGTTTTCATCCTCTCTTTCATGGCTAATATTATGCTGTTGGCTTTATCTTCAGCTCCCTGTTTTGAACTTTTCTCAGCAGCACCTAAAATGATACAAGTTTTTTCATATTAGATAATAAATATTATATTATCATCCACTTGGGACTTGTAAGCTTAAAGATTGTCAAAGAACAGATTAAGTTGGAGATGTTTTTTTCTTAATCTTCTCAATTTCAAATGCATGAGATTTGGTATCAAATGGATTAGCCTTGAAATCAAGTTTAAGGTTATGGTGAGATTTTGATTCTTATAAATACTGTATTAGGTTGATACTCACGTTGCAAACAATCAGCATTGAGCAAATCTTTACATTTTTCGTGACATTTGACCGCACACTCTGTACATCTGACCCCTTGTCTTGCAAGACCCCATAAAAGTCCTTCACATTCATAGCAATAAGTTGGACTGGTCGCTGTCCAAGGCTGGAAATTGTGTGGGGTGGTACTCGAAATTGGATAAATTAAGGCTTGTAATGTTTTCTTGTACACATGCATTTTCTGTAATTAGATTATCGTTGATTGATTGTAATTAGATTGTGGCAGTTGATGAACAAATAATAGATTTTTTTATAATTACCAATTCCTCGTCATTAAGAGATGCTCTTGGAACCGCTGATGCCAATCCAGCGCTTCGTTTGGTCGCTGCCATTGTTTTAAGTACCTTTGGTGGTTTGGAAACAAAGTCCAATATTAATCATCATGATTTATAATTGTTAAGTTAATCGCAATATAAATTGTTAGTTTGTATGATCATTAACTCAATGTAACTATCAAATGATTGGATAATTGCTACAAGATTTTGTTAATCATCTCATGGGAAAGTATTACGTTAATCAAAAGGACGGATTAAGGTGAACAATTATGTCAAGATTAATTGTGATCATTATCTAACTAACATTTCAAATCTAATCAGTTAAACAAGTTAACAATTTGAATTGATTATTCATTGCCATAGAAACAAATCATGACAATCAAATTTTTCCAATGTTAACTGTCCAAATCAAACAGTTAAATTGTTGATGAAATTACATCATTGTTATCAACACAATAATAGTAGGTTATTGATGATAAAGATGAACCAATAAGCAATTAACTTGATTGTGATGTTTATTTGAATTTGGGATAATGAAAGATTAACTTACCAATTCACTGACCAATGGAATTGACTTTTTCCTTGGTCTAATATCAGGCATCGCATCAATGGCACTGAAAAAGGGATTATCCCTGGAGAGATAAAAGGGATCAAGATAAATTGCATTGGAAACGAAATTAATTTCATCGTCACAATTAGAGATCGATTTAGATGATCGAGTAGCTCGAGGGATAGAAGATGTTGAGGTCACTACAGTTGCTGCGGTTGACGAAGAAGACGAACTGGCCGATGATCGACCCCGAAGAGATCGATGAAATTTCCACTTATCATTTACAGTTAATCGATCCATTTCAGAGAAACAATTAGAAACTGATTGAGTAACTAATCAATAAGATCACCGAATTTTAATGATAATCAATTAAAGTCAATTAAATTTTCCAGACAATTGTTGCATCTAAACTGTTTGGTGACATTTAATCAATCAAATTGAGGTTAAAGTGAACTGACCCTTCATCTCATTATGTTTACATAAAAATGTGTAAAAAAATTTATGATTATGATGATAAGAGATGCAATCAACACCTAAATCAAGCACAAGTGTTTGATGATATATTATCATCAATGAACAGTTAGTTTATCATCTTCATCATCTTTATCATCAACATCATCACCTTCATCAAAATAATCATTTTAATTAACAGATTATGCGTTGTTCAAGATTGAATCACAAGGTGATTACGACGATGATGAGGATGAGGATGTTAATAAAAAAGCTTTTGATTGAACTGGCGCACTCTGTTTACATTAATTTTCAACAATTCATTGTTGTTACTTTGCTATTAACCCACAGAACTAACCAGAATTCTGGTTAACCATTGGTTCATGATCAATTGATTGATTGAATTAGTTTATGATTCTACTAGTAGTTAAACTGTTGTAGAAAAACCTTGACACTAACCAACCAAACCTTTGGAAATGTAACTTTAAATCAACAATCAGTGAGTTCGATGGAAGGAAATAAACAGCCGAATAAAATAAATCTCTTTCTCTGTAAATCCTCAGTCGATATTTGATCAATTATCTCTTTCTATCTTTTCGTCTTCCTCTGTCTTCTTCTTCGTCTTCCGTTCTCCAAATTTATCAACTTTCCCTCTTTTACTAACATTTCCGGTTTCTAGAATCAGAATCTTCAGTGAGAGACTTTTTTCTTCGACAAACAAAAATTGTCATGTTTCCTCTCACTCTCACTCTCACTCTCACTCATTCTCTTCCTCTGATATAACAACATTCTTGATCTTTAACTGAGAGAAATATCAACTTGTAAATGGATTTCATCACTTCCCTGGCGATTAATAAGTTGCCTCATAATAATAAGTTATGGATAAAAGTTCTGATGCAAGAAATGAGTTTCCACTAGGGCAGAATGAAAATTTTCATGGTAGTAAATTGGATTTAGCCTGAGGCTGATTGTTACTTTTACGAGCGATTATTATACTTGGGATAATATGATCTATTTTTTATAATAATAACCAGAGACAATAGTCAGATCTCAATAACTAATAATAAACTGTTCAATACGATTCACCAATTAAATATTAGAAATCGATGATATTTCATGCGAACTGAGCCGAATAATCTCAAAATTTCACTGATTTCAGTATTTTTCATTGAAATCTGAAAAATTGACAATTTCCTTTGCAATTCAACATCTTCCATGTCCACTGGACTTTGGCTCATGACACTTACCCTCCTCTCGGCCATAGACTCCTAGCACCATCTCCACTTCCTTGTCTTGCTCCACTCTGTTAATTAACGTAGATTAATAATAATTATCATTAGATTCTGTATCGATTAACAATTAATGACAAAAGGGGCAGGGATCTCATCATTCAATCGTTTTGATCAATCGTTAACAGATAATTATATTTTGATTAGATTGTTACTCGTGTCATGATTATCATGATTAAAGTGAATGTCATTTCCCATGTTAATCCTTGCTTTATATTAACCTCTGTTGATACAAACCATGTTAATCAAACTGAAGATGATCAATTATTAGTGATAATAATCATACTTTTTCAATTCATGGTTCAGTTAATACTAACTGATAACTGGCATCAAATGATATCAGTTTTTTTGAAGGATAAAAAAATTGAACCAGATAAAAACTTTTCTGTTACAAACCCGTACACTTTATTTCCTTTTCCGGTCCCTAGAATGCTAAAGGATATCCTGTTTGCCAAGCCAATTTCCGAGAATATTTATAAAGCCAAAGATAAGCAAAGAATAAAATAAAGGTTACCCTTTACCCTTTGCACGAACTGTCCCCAACCTCGCCCACTTCTAGTGTCTTTCATTTCTTATTTTCATTAATTAACTTGATGAAAAACGGATTATCATCAGATGATTAAATGTGATGACCTTTAACATGACAAACATTTTGCTTAAAGTATAGATGATCTATTATTCAATTCAATTAACTTTCTCTCTCATTATCCGTTCTGATCGATTATCATGATAATCACCATGTTAATCACATGTAAACAACCAATCAATTGACAATTGTCATTGAATGAAAATCATCAAGAATATGAAGATAACTTAATCATCGTCATGAGTGAGAATTCATATCCTCCCATGATCAGATTAAATCTGATTCCATTTGTTTGACAAAAATAGGTTACAATCAAAATCATCTGTCATCTCGGTTTAATTTGCATCAATTGATTTTCTATCATCATTCATTCATCATGATGATTTCAATTTCGCAAATCATCATGTTTGTACCATGTAACTATTATTTTCCTAATATCAATAATCTAAGTCAATGAACTAATCATTTCTTTCCGATATTTGAACATCTAAATCAATTTTTGACTCGATTTGATAAAAAAATTCAATTAAATGTTCATCTGATTAACACTACAATTAACTTCTATTTCAATTGATTACAAAACTTTTCATTCACAATTAACCCAATTACATATTCTGGTTTAATCAAGAGACATCTTCATGCTTGAAATCAAGACAAACATTTAAATTATTCAATAATCAACATAATTAAATACTAATTGTAAATTCAAGTCCCTGTTGATTTTTGAATTAAACATTAATTAATTGTAATTGACAAAGCAAACAATTATAAATTAGTTAAGCGACCTGTTGTTCATTATTCATTAACAACTATTATTTTCACCAAAAAAAACACGATTTAATTTCAAGGGTGAACAAAAAAAAGATCATGAAATAATCATGGTCCCCAGAATTTTCATCAACACGACAGATTATTGATTAATAAACTTTATTGGAACTTTTTTCTATTGATAGCAGAAAAAACGAGTAAAGTTTCATTTTCTATGATTAATATTATTGCAAATGGAATGAAAAATGATTCCATCCCCATGGTGTTAATGTTACATGATACAAGATTCAATCAAAAGAAGAGATGGAAAATGAATGAAGAAAAGATTACCAACTAATGTCTATTGGAATTATCACGTGATTTTGAAATATGAGAATTCATTGAATCAGAAATCTGAAAAGAGAACTTTAGTCCAGACACAGAAGTTTAAGCTTCATGGAGAGAATCATGATGATAATCATCATGATATTTCTATGAACTTCAAAAGAGTTTGAACCGATGTTCCTTTTAGTATTTTAATCTACAATTCGATGAGTTTATATTATCATTACCAATACTATCATTCGAAAGTTTTGATCACTATCATTATTTAATCTTCTTCACTCAATTCAGTTTATAGAGAGAGAAAGAAAATCAAGAAATTTTCCAAATTCTATTGACCTCAATCATTACCTAATCTAAACAATAAATCAATGAATGACTTTACTAACCAAAGATTAAGGTATTGATAAAGATGACGATCAGTGTGAACAGAACAGGTAAACAGAGAGTCGTTCATGTAACATTCCCACAAGAATAAGAAATGATAACTGAACAAGTGTAAGTCTTATTAGTTTATTAGGAGAAAACAGTTCAGGTAAATCATTTTCACAAGGATAATCAGGTAAGTTATCGTATTGATTATGGTTACAAGAAGTCATAAGAAAGATGAAGATGATGGAGAGAAACAAGCAAATGTTATCATGGGCAGAAAAATTCTAAAAATAACTATTTCTTTTCTACATGAGACTCAGAGTTCTAGAGATCAAGAATGTTGGATTCCCAAGACCAATGGTCAGTGGCTTTTACCCAATAATGGATGTTATTGGTCAGAACATTTATTAACTTTCTTTCTGTCTGTCTTATAGCTGAAAAGACCAGGATCTATTGAATCAAATGAAAAGACACGAGATAAGGATTTAAATTGCAATTATTATCGTCATTATTGTCGTTTGTCCAGTTGTCAGAACTTTTTCTTAAACTTGAAACTCGAAAGCAAAATAAACAACTAAAAGTTTTGAAAATTTTGAGAGATTCGATGATAAATCTTTCGGCTCTCCATAGACACGATTGAAAATGATGATCATTCTCATGAAAATAATGATGATCTTTCAATAAATTTCACAATAACTTATCATTTTTTTCATAAAATTTCAGTGAAAAAAAACTAAACAAATAGAAAATAAATTGATAAGTTTCTATGAAAAATTCAATATGAAAAATGAGAAAACTATTGAGATGAAATAATATTTATCAATGAATATCGTTCCCTTTAGGATTAATTGAACTTGAAAAGATTGTCACACTAATCAAATCTTAATTTAAAAACAATTAATTTCACAACACAATAATTACAAGGTAATAATCATGAGCATCATCCTGAAAAAGATACAATAAATAGACAGTATGATGTATCATGAACATGAATCTATTCAATGATAACCTAATGATACTTAAAATGGAACCAATATAATAACAATAATAGTTTTTCATTAACTATAATTTGATTTTGCAAGATGATTTATGACCAATTTGATAGTAATAATAACATGGAAACTTTTCTCATAAATGATTTTGTCCTGTTTTCATGATGCAAACAAAAGTTTCATTGAAATTGTACTAGAATACAAGTACAAATGTCTGAATAATCTGATCAACAAAATGAATTATGATTTAACTCATGTTGGTATTTTCTATGTTGATTATTAGTATTAAGAAACAGAGTTGTTAGATAATACCAACGATTGAAAGCAGAGGATTCCCTGAGATTAATGATGAAGATGGAAGGATTTATTGGTGAATTTAAGGCCAAATCTAATTATAAATCGGATTAGGATAAAGTGGTCGTAACAATTTAATCATTTTAAGGCCTAGTTGCAAACAATTGTTAACAAAAACAACAACTATGATAATACATGTATGAAAACTATGATATGACAAGGGAAAGATTTAGATTACTGATTGTTGTATCACGTGATTAAATTAATTGTGGTCAAGATAAGGAGGATGGTCGCCGAATTTTAGTTTTGAGTTAAGAGTTGAAACTTTTTGTATTTGTAGGGCCATAAATATGAAGTCCAAATATATTTATTTTTCTGATCTGATCAGTAGTTTTCAGAAAATCAGGTTCAGTTAAAACTTCAGGTCACTTTTCTCAGCAATATGGTTTTAGATCATGAAATTTTTATTTTATCGACAACTTTCATGCCGAAAATTAAATTTGTTTTGGTCAAAAAAAAGATCAAGTGCTCAGCCACAATTCCGTTCTATTTAAATAAATGGACGTGATTGTTAAGTGTCGAGAATGATCTGAAACTTATTTTTGAGGCTATCCTAGTATGGGTTAACATTTTGGATCATGAGCACTTTTCATGCTGATCAACAGTTTTACCGGAATGAGAAATGTGATCATCTAAAGAACAATATCTCGAAACTAAAATACTTGAGATGTCTAAATAAATTCAAATCACAAATCATTTAACAAATAGCTATCAAAACATAGATTTTGGCCAAAAATTGATGGTCTGAAAATGAGACTAAAATTAAATTAAAGTTATACTACACTCAGTTATAAACACCCAAATGTTTTATGCTTGCTCGAATGAAATATTTCATCAAACATTAATCAAACTATTTATATAGCAAAGTGACTCTATTTGAATAGCCTTCTGATAGCCTTGGTTAAATGACGATGATTGACTTATTTAGACATCTCCAAGTATTTAGTTTCGGAGATAAAATAGCCCTTGAAGATCAATGCCACTTTCTCATTCCGATGAAAACTGTTGATCAAATGAAAAAGTACTCGATAACGATGTTAACCCATACTAGGATAGCCTCAAAATAAGTTTCAGATCATTCTCTGACACTTGTACAATCATGAATAATTTGATTTAAATAGAAATGGAATTGTGTGGAGCACTTTGGATATTTTTTAAAAACAAATTTAATTTTACCAACTTGAAAAGTTGTCTGATAAAATAAAATTTCATGATCTAAAACTCTATCGTTGCTTAGAAAAAGTGACCTGAAGTTTAACTTTTAACTCCTATTTTCTCGAAAATTGTTATCAAATCAGAAAAAATAAATATATTTGGACTTCATATTTATGATTGAAATACAAAAGTTTCAACTGTTAACTCAAAATTAAATTGTGGTCAAGATAATTTCTGGTTGATCTCAGAGATGATAACAATTTGCAAGAGTTTGATGATTGAGAAGATAACGTTTGATAATTAAAATGAAAAATGATTAACAATTTACCATGAATGAGATTCAATCCCCAGAGATTTTTCCTTCACTAAATTTAAGGTGAATTTATTGTCTTCTTTTTTTACAGAGAAAACTTTTCTGAATTGGTATTCAAGATGATACCCTGATAATATGACGATATGCATGGTT